CATCATGGAACTTGCAACAATGAATCCTGAACTCTTTAAGAATGACTTTTATATAGCATATGCTTTGATCAAGAAGGTGTAAAAAATACACAATATAAGGGTGTGGCGTTAACTCTTAACAAAGGTATAGTAATATTTTAGTCAAGAAATAAAGTTCGAATTATCTATTACATAGATGTTGTACACTGAACACAAGAATTCAAGCTGTATGGCCGCAGTCTGTATATTAAAGAAACTGGACCAGACAACCACCTGTCTGACATCATGATCACCGCTGTACGTAACAGTGAGTGAGTTAATATTTATCATCACTTCGGCCATATTGATGAAAAACAGTAAACTACTAGTGTATCACAGATGTCAAAGTAAAACTAGAATGTTGTCCTAAAACGATATTATTAAAGTGAACAATACAATTTAAAAAAAGACTATAGATTGCCAACAACTGAAGGTAGATCAAAATACTAGAGACCATGGGGAGTTACGGTACATTTGCTTCATGCATGGACCTTAGCTAGATTTAGACCATCCCGTCAGTTGCTAGCAATTCAGACAACTCTAGCAATACATTAAAATGACACATATTCTACGATTAAAAAGAGTGGAGAGATTAAATTTACTTTGAAGGTTTTGGGAATATCCTCTCAGGAGTACAATAATTTTACAATACTTCAAATCCCTTTGAAGATACAGCCACTAACAATCGCAGCTACTATTTCAATCTACCAAGTTAAAAATGCCATTGATTTATTTACAATTCATATAATCAAAATATAACTAATAATTATTTTTCTTTACGAAAACAATGATTCAATGATAATTTACATTATAAAAGATTTTGGTGATTTTTTTGACATTAAAATATTTATCCCTTGTGACTGAAAAATCAATACAGTCAACTGTACGTAAAAAGGATAAGGCATGCCTGCTTCACGACAATCGTGGGTTGATGAAGACCGATACATGTATTCAGAACATTACAATCAGCAGCTTGGCTATACAGATCAAGACATTCAAAGAAAGGTTCATACAGGGATTCCCGTTTGACTGGCGAACTACAATTATATCATGTCTTCCTTTCAGTGAGTACAGTCGTTTCTTTACGAGCTTCGTTTCGTTGCTTTTGTGAGTCTTAAAGTGTTTTGCAACCTTCGTCGGACAGTGTGAAAGTCAATACTAGGACGGCTGTTGAGAGAGACAATATTAATCAGTGATTTAATACGTAAGTTCCTTTCAGTGTCGCATATCACAGAGATACAATCATGTTGTGCCTATGATCTCCCTATTAGACGTTGAAGGGAAGTATAACATGACTATTTAACATGATATATTCTTTGGGAGGTGTAACATGCGTCACAACCACGAATGAACATTGGACACCAAGGACACACACACACACACACACACACACACACACACACACACACACACATGGGACTAACGGAAATCTCAATTGCGTAGATCGATCCTCATGATCACTAGATTGTCTGGTCCAGACACAATTATTTACACATCGTCGATATATACCTGGAATATTGTTGAGTGCGGCGCAAGAGTAAACTCACTTACTCACTCACTTTTTATGTGTGGCAGTCATCGTTATTCCAGCATTTTCAGCAAGTGCTAAAAGCGTGTCTCAGTTATGTCACAGCTTATAGTTCTGTTTTAATTGTGTCCTACGGTCTGCCCCTAATTGCAGGCGATGTGTTTTCTGATTGTGTTTCGATATCTGTCTTCGATATAGTAAACTAATTCTTGATTGTCTGTTCATTTGATTTGATTTTCTTCAATGACATAATGTGTAATGGACAAGAAGTTTCTCACGATGTGGATGCTATTTATATATGCCAAATACAACAATAACTAATGAATACACAAACCTCCACAAACGTTGCAGTTGCAACCGTATGTGTCTGTTGCAATACGGCAGTTCATATCAACGTATGCAATACGAAGAGGGAACACTGATCAGCTTCACTTAAAGCGTACTAGAGTACCATAACCATGATTTGGTAAAGCAGGCTACACAGTGCTGTGTGGTACCATCTTGCGTACATTTAACACAGTTGTAGTACATTTAACACATTTTGTCAGAATAACAGCCAGTCAGTGGTATTTCATCAAAACTAACTGTAAATGTAGGTAAATTGTTCGCGGTATGTGGTTGTGCGAGTTACGTCCCCTTTCAGCGGAAGTGGAAAGGAAGTACATGGCATATTGGATGCGATACGGTGCGGTGCCAGTTGTGTCCTCAGGATATGTGTGATTCTCCTTGCGATTGTAGTTTAAAATTGACACAATTTGCGAATTATTTTTAAATCCTCAATGTTTTACGAGGCCACGACAGGTCTCCGTAAATAAAACTATTGGACACCAAGCTGTGTTGCGATCTATAATCATGGGATAAAAATTTCGTCCAACGACAGACCGTTACACTAACTGTATGAATACATTTTCAGCTCACTCTGATAGTCAGTAGGTTGGTGCCCTCACAGCCTCTGCCTAGCGCATACTTTGTCATCACAGATTCGTATGCACGTCTTTCAGATACCATGACAGTTGATTAAACAGTGGTCAAAGATTCCAATCAGATTTCATCATCCGTTGATACTTTTATTCTAAGTATATTCTTTTAACCAGAATGTTTGACAATGGCGCAAAAGGAGCATTTGCCTATTGTCTGTATGAAAGAAATTCCATAACTTGACGAACATGAAGCTGGTGTGATACCGAGATTTGTGACATATTTTCAGGAATATCACAGTTGTGGACTACAAACGGTCGCCAAAACACTGCAAACGTAAGGTCTAAAAAACAACTCTGATACCCCTATCAAGTACGTCATCATCCAATAACACTTTCTCGTTATTTTATTTCAATCACTATCGAAAATGCTTGAGTACGTTCTTTGCCTGGCAATTTATAACTAAACATGTGACTTTTGGATATAGTTACAATCTGTAGCTTAAGATTTTAAGCTATCAGAATATGTGGACCTGTTGTGTCATGGTATTTTTCATTTAATAGCGTGTGGAATATACACAAAATATTTTTATAGTTTGATGTGCATCTGCATGTTATAGTATGTGCACACAAACGGCAAACACCATTATTCCAAACTCACGACGACGTTCCTCTTCTGCAATCTTCCCATGAGTCATCTCCCAGCAATAACCCCTCAATGACATACCACTCAACGAAACGATTCACATGTACTATGGCATTTTAATCGTGAAACACATAGTATTTATATATACTCTCAAAAAGAGAAACTTGACATAGGACAAATTTGAATTTTAGGAAAATATTTGACACAAACCAATCCATGCTGAAGCCCAGCATGTGGGGAATGATTGCCGACCACAAAACATTTGAAAAGAAACGTTTTACAAAAACGTAACGTTACACTGACGTCTGTAGTGAGTCGCTAAAACGCTCCCTACATGAAATGCACGAGCATCATGAAATTGTGTATCACCCTGAGCTGAAGCTTATGCCTGTAGGCTTTAAAATGCCACATCAATGGTACTCTACATGCATTGCTTTGAGCCACTATTGACGACAAGAGAATGAAAAGACTGACAGAAGCTCAACGACACAACGCCATCGGCCGTTTACAAGCACGGACATCGCAGCATGATGTGGCAGCATGACAGTGCTCGTCCTCACGTTGCACGTGTTGGACAGGTCTTCCTCAAGCTAAACAATGTTCAGTTGTTACCTTGGCCTACTCGATCACCGGATTTGTCCCCCATTGAACACCTGTGGGGAACTTGTGATCCACGATTGCGCCAGCGTAATCCGCCACCGCAGACACAACCAGAACTGCACACAGCACTTCAGCAAGTGTATCAAAACGTTCCTCAAGACAGCATTCGGCATCTCCTTTCTTCTATGGGTCACCGCTGCCAAGCATGCTCATATGTAAAGTGATGATTTTACTGTAACTGAGCAATGATGTCATGTTTAAATCAGTTATATGCACTCAGTAAGTAAACTCGAAAACAGCATGTCAAGTTTATTTTTTTTTAGAGTATATTATATATTTATCAATGCCAAAGCCATTGGTGAACCCTAGAACGCTGGAATGGATCCCTCACCGTTAGAATTACGTGTCTATCGTGTAAGTTGGGAGCGAGAAGGGGTGAGGAAAGGGTTCTTGACGTGCCTGTGCACCCAATTTTAAGATCACCTATGAATAGGTCAGTGACACCTGCCATACATATACACAGAGATATCGTGTCTACGCGTACGTGGAAAGGAACAGGTAAGTTTTTCTCTTCTCTGAATGCTTGTCTTAGTCAGAATTGTACATCAGCTTGCGGTTAAAAGCATGACAGGATCTGTATTATGATTCTTGTAGCTATTGCACACTATTCAAGTTAGGGGATGTTTAAATCAAGATTGTGTGTTTATTGTATAAAGAAACACTCCGAAATATTCAGGCTGTAGGACAGTGACCTATAAATAATCGACTTTGGACGAGATAACACTGATATTGACACCATAATCCATCGAACTTGGATACAATACATACGTAATCCAAGTCATCTTGCCTCACGGCCTGATCCAGTCAATGACCTTTTACGATATGCTCTGCTTCTCTAGACCAATTTCAATCTTAATCTTCATTGATATTTCAATTAAGAACATAGAAGTGCACATTTCAAGCCATGTCACAGCGACAGACAAGACGTTCCTGCCAGGTACACGACATGACACTGACAGGCGTATGATTGTAGCTTCTGAAGTGTATCTTCATCAGCTGTTATTTGAACTTATTTCTGTCCCCAAATATAATGTACTATAGCCATTGGTTACTCTTGAATGTAAGCGATTGTGATTTACACCTTATCTAACATTCATTTTCAGCTGACGGAAAAGTATAACAACTGAACCAAATCAAGAGTGTGTGTCGCCCAGTTCAACCATCAGACATGTCTTCAAGATTACTCAGTTCAACTGTCAATGTATCAACGTCTGCAAGATATTCTCCAACAATGCCAAAAGCAGCCATGTTTGTTCCTTATGGAGAAAGTGGATCTGGAAGCTATGGAGCCACTCTTGGAAAACTGCATGCTGGATATATAGAGCCAATACACTCCAAAGTTTTCAAATTAGCCGTTTCCATTCCTTTTCCAAAAGGTTCAGTGTTCAGCATAGGAGATTATGGCACAGCAGACGGTGGTAGTTCCATGGTCTTTCTTGGGAGACTATTAGAATTCCTTAAAGAACGACACGGCCCTGATACCCAGTTTCAGGTTATTCATGAAGATCAAGGTAGAAATGATTTCAACTCACTCTTCCGACGCTTGACAGGAATTATTCCCGAGCCGCCATCCTACCTCTTGTCGATGGACAACGTGTATGCTTTTGCTTGTGGAACAGACTTCTACAAACAATGTGTACCTTCTGATTCCATGCATTTCATCATGTGCATGATGTCCGTACACTGGCTGTCTCAACCGCCCACAGTTTATAGGGACTCCATCTACGTTTGTAACGACAGCCTTGAGGAAGAAAAAGAAGCATTGAGGAAACAGGCCCAAATGGACTGGGAGAAATTCTTGCTGATGAGGAGTAGGGAATTGAAAGAAGGTGGGGTACTTTTTGTTGGTGCGCCTGCTGCTTATATGGATCAAAAGACTTGTCAAGTAAGGTTTTCTGGAGAAACGTTAGTGACTCTGATGACAGACATATGGAAATCATTCACAGTCTCTTGCAAAATCACAAGACAAGAATTTATTAAAACAAATATCTCGTTTTGTTTGAGGAATCTTCTGCAAATGCGAGAGCCATTCGAAGCAGAGAATTCCCAGATCACAGCATCAGGACTGCGTCTTTTGTTATCCGAAATAATTTTAAACAAAAACATTTACTATTCTTCATGGAAACAGAAGAAATACGAGGAGGGAATTGACGACAGGGAGGAGTTTGCCGAAATGATGGTGTCGGCCTACCGGAACTGGAGCAACCACAGCTTCATGGCAGGTCTCTCAGACACTCGATCACTGAAAGAAAAGAAACAAATTGTCGATGATTTGTACGCCAATGTCATCATGGAACTTGCAACAATGAATCCTGAACTCTATAAGAATGACTTTTATACAGCATATGCTTTGATCAAGAAGGTGTAAAAAATACACAATATAAGGGTGTGGCGTTAACTCTTAACAAAGGTATAGTAATATTTTAGTCAAGAACTAAAGTTCGAATTATCTATTACATAGATGTTGTACACCAAACACAAGAAATCAAGCTGTATGACCGCAGTCTGTAAATTAACGAAACTGGACCAGACAACCACGTGGTTGACATCATGACCATCGCTGTACGTAACAAGGATACGGCATACGTAACAAGGATGCGGCATACGTAACAAGGGTATGGCATACGTAACAAGGATACGGCATACGTAACAAGGATACGGCATGCCTCTATCAAGTCAACAAGGCTGTGCCTGCCTCACGACCCTCTTCCACGACCCTCATTTGCTTCTCACGACAATCGTGGGTTGCTGAAGACCAGTCAACCTGAATCTTCACAGGTGTAATACATGTATTCAGAACATAACGATTATCAGCTTGGCTATATACATGGAATGACCAAGACATTCATAGAAAGGTTCATTCAGGGATTCCCGTTGGACTGGCGAAGTATAGTTATATCGTGTCTCCCTTTCAATGGGTACAGTGGTTTCATAACGAGCTCCGTTTCGTTGCTTTTGTTAGTCTTAAAGTGTTGGCAACCTTCGTCGCACAGTGTGTAAGTCAGTACTAGTACGGCTGTGGAGAGAGACAGGATTAATCGGTGCTATAATACGTAAGTTCCTTTCAATGTCGCATATTACAGTGATACAATCATGTTGTGAATATGATCTCCCTATTAGACGTCTAGTGTTATAGGAAATAGGAATATTACGAGCTATTTTACATGACTCTTTGGGAGGCGTAACATGATATATTCTTTGGGAGGCGTAACTTATGTCACAACCACGTATACTGTCTCTCTCCTCTCTCTCTCTCTCTCTCTCTCTCTCTCTCTCTCTCTCTCTCTCTCTCTCTCTCTCTCTCTCTCTGTTGTTTGTTGCGACACGTGAAGATCCGGATTAAAATTGAACTTCATTAACTTATGCTTGTCGTAAGTGTCGACTAACAGAGTCGGGTGGACAGGTTCGCTGACTTTGTTGACACGTGTCATCGCATCTCAGTTGTATAGAACGATCCTCATGCTGTTGATCACTGGACTGTCTGGTGGAGACTCGATTTTTTTGCAGACCACCGACATAAAGCTGGAATATTGCTAAATCTAAACTCACTCGCTGTTTGTTGTGTGACAGTCACCTGTGTTCCAGCTTTTTCAGCAAGTGTTACACACGTGACTCATGCATTTACGTCACAACTTATAATCGTGATATGGCTGCTATTTCAGTAATGCCAAATACAACAATAATTAATGAAAACACAAACCACTACAAATATTGCAGTTGGACAATGTAACGTTGTTGGCGCCACAGGATGATTGTAACGGTATTTCTGTCTATTGCCATATGGCAATTCATATCAACGTATGCAATACGTTAAGGGGCACGCTGATCTGCTACATGTACGCACTAGCGTACAGGCATTGCCTATTATATAGTATACGTATTACCATTCACAAGCTTTTAAGCATGAGCGTATTCGACCTAAATAAACCGTGACTCCATTGTAAATATGTTTGCATTGCCAGTGTTGGGAGATATCTGTGGAGAACTAAAATATGTACGAGTGAGCTTAGTTTTACGCGGCTTTTTGCAAGATTCAAGCAATATCACGGCGGTGACACCAGAAATGGACTTCACACATTGTACCCATGTTGGGAATCGAACCCTGGCCTTCGGCGTGAAGAACCAACGCTTTAACCACTAGGCTACCCCGCCGCCCCAAATGTGTAAGAACAGACACGTGCTGCTGCAAAGGAGGTCATACAGGGAAGTGCTTAGCAGACAAATCTATAAAGATTAGGATTAAATTCTACGATCTTTTTCTACGGTCTTTAGTGCCAAGACACTTGTCTCAATTATGTTTAAGGACCATTGGTTACTGCACGTAGTCTTTCACGGACATCTTCAAAAACAACAACAATAATAATATTGAAGATGAATGTAATAGCATATTCATCAAACAAACGAACCTCGGCCTTGTGTGCTTTTGTCTTTTTATGAATATAAACTCACGGTGAGTCATTGACGAACGCCATGCAGTTTGTGCATATATCAACAGTGACAGTCTTGTTGCAGAACATGATGGAAAGGTATAGTAGGTTCAAGTTGTGTTCCTTAAACAAAGCGTTCTACACGCTACAATTAAACCCCTGTTAGTACTTTTGAAATGTGGCAGTGTTAGTGCAACGACCTCTAAACAGGCATCATCATTACAACATCGTCGTTCCCGCGCGTGCGTGGGGGACCTCAACGCTGGTAATATCAGTACCATACAAAAACGGCGTTGTTGTTGATTGGTGTTGGATCTCATGCCTTCGTCTAGCCAGCGCTGGAAATCAACACCGCCCACGGGTTTTCTATAACCAATTGTCGATCTGAAACCACTTACACCAGTGAATAAAGTATGGGGCAATTTCTCTTTGGGAGATGTGAGTGACGGTCCCCGTTGTATGACTAAGGGGTATAGAGCTCCGGGCTGTTTGTTGGTGCTACACAAAGGACTTCACTGTGTACGGCAGCTTTGTATCACAGGTATTGTGACCAATGTGGTACATACCGTACCGTAGTATGAATACACAATGTCATTTACAAAACGGTCAAATGTACTTTGCTAGTACTTTGATGGGTAGAGCCCACCCGTTGCTAGTACCTTGTTGATTTGAGACCACACGATGCTAGTACCTTGCTTGTGTTCACACCCACCCGATTCAAGCACCTTGTTGAGTTGACACCAATCGATTCTAATACCTTGTTGGGTTGAGACCCACCCGATTCAAGCACCTTGTTGAGTTGAGACCACCCGATTCTGGTACCTTGCTTCAAGCACCTTGTTGAGTTGAGACCACCCCATTCTAATGCCTTGTTGAGTTGAGACCACCCGATGCTAGAACCTTGCTTGTGTTGACACCCACCCGATTCAAGAATCTTGCTGAGTTGAGACCACCCGATTCTAATGCCTTGTTAGGTTGAGACCCATCCGATTCAAGCACCCTGTTCAGTTGAGACCACCCGATTCTAATACCTTGTTGGGTTGAGACCCACCCGATTCAAGCACCCTGGTCAGTTGAGACCACCTGATTCTGGTACCTTGCTTGTGTTGACACCCACCCGATTCAAGCACCTTGGTCAGTTGAGACCACCTGATTCTAATACCTTGTAGAGTTGAGACCACCCGATGCTAGTACCTTGTTGGGTTGAGACCCTCCCTATTCTTGTATCTTGATGGCTGAGTTCCATCCAGGTACTAGAATCTGTACTTAACTGAGAAAGTGTAATCCCAAAAGCAACATATGTAAAGTCGAAAATTAGTTATCAAAACAAATAAACTTCGCAGTGAATTTAAATGTGCGGGGTTTCATGACCTAAAGGTTTTGCCTATTGACTTTAGCACCTTCCTCCTTTGCAGATACAGTGTCATTTTAAGACACAAATGTTGTCGATGTTTTGCATCTGAAGGGATTATTGATGCTCAAGAAAGACCTGCCGGGGACAAGAAGGTATGCACGTAAGACAAAACCTTCAAACGTTAAGACAATGTTACCAGGCTGAAAAAGGTCTCCGAACCATTGCAAACTCGTGTATATATATAACATATAATATAATAACACAGTATTAATATATTATGATCAAAGAACTATTTCTTGTTTCTTAATTTTCATATTAGCCACCATCAAGCTTGTTTTTGCCCTGCAGTTGATGTTATCCCAATAGTTTTCTTAACTTAATCCGAAAATATTTCTTTTTCATGGTAATTACGAGAGGAGGGCCCCAATATAACGCTTCAAATAATCAACATGTATCCATTATTTAAACCAAACTAATTTTGTTACAGGATTTTGTCTTATTTACAGTATGGAATGCTTTTGTCCAGAGGCGTCTGATAAGTATTGCGAAAAAGAGTTTGACAACAAACACGATGATAAAAATGATGATAAAGAGGACGATGACTTCGAAGATACGGACACCGACGTTGTGGATGACTTAGATCCCTACAATCCGTCTGACAAGCAGTACATCCAGGATTCTCTTGGTTCACGCCTGAAGTATTACACCAAAATATTCCTTCAACCGAGATCAGATCCACACAAGCCACAACGTCCAGTAGTTGCCAAAGGTAAAATGTGGACAGACCCAGACTTTCCTCGACCAATGAAAATTAAACTGAACAAAAAGTGTGTTTGCTAGAATGGAAGAGGCCACATGTAAGTATTTATAATGTGTTACAAGCGTTCTATTACTCAAATTGAACGGTGTTGCAATAAAAGATTCATTGCTGGAAACGCTGTCTGAAGATGCAAATAGTGGTTAAAGCGTTCGCTCGTCACGCCGAAGAGTGAGTGAGTGAGTTAAATATTTCAGCCATATTGTGACTTAAAAAGTTATAAACACAATTACATTATAAAACACAGAGAGAGAGAGAGAGAGAGAGAGAGAGAGAGAGAGAGAGAGAGAGAGAGAGAGAGAGAGAGAGAGAGAGAGAGAGAGAGAGACACGCGTATGCTGGTATAGTTCATGTTATATATTCGACCTATATCAGGGTGGTCTGTACATAATCGAGTCTGGACCAGATAGTCCAATGATCAACAGCATGAACGTCGACCTACGTAACTGGGTTGCGATGACGTGTGTCAAACTGAGAGAGGTGATATAAACCAACGCAGGTTTGGAACATGTTGGTTTTTAGCGATGGTTGCAAACATAGCAGAGAATCCAGTTCTTCGACGAAAGGTCTGTGCATATGGTTTTTATAGACTTTAACAATTAGAGTGAGTGAGTTTGGTTTTAATCCGCTTGTAGCCATATTCCAGCAATATCACGGCGGGAGGCAGCAGAAATGGGCTTCACACATTGTACCCGTGTTGGGAATTGAACCCGGGCCTTCGGCGTGACGAGCGAACGAATAGCCAACTTGGCTACCCCACCGCCCCTTTA